GTAAAGTTTATTTTCCTGGAGTAAGTGATACCCATATCCTAGGTGGGTAATTAACTTTCCCACCTAGGGGGAAGTTTGCTAACACTTGAATGGGACAAAAATGCCCCTTTTAATGATAGATTTTTATGGCTAAAATGGTCATTGCTTTGTTTACGTAGGAGATAGAAGAACATGGGTAAATGTACTTACTCAGGTAAGTTTTTCTGGTAATTGCATTTACCCAAGTAAATAACTTACCGAAAAGTGAACAAGGCCTAAAGGAGATGCATAGCAATGGCTAGTTCAGATATGCTAAAATTGCCATCAACGACCTCTGTAAAACAATTTTCTGACAAAAAAAAAAAAATCAAAGATCTTCTGCAACCTCAACGAAATTGTGATCTTTTGCAACCTCAACCTAGTTGCAATCTTCTACAACCTCAATGACTTTACCTAACTGGAACTGACACTACTTAGAGCTTCAAGTCCCAAATGAATCGAGCTAATTGAAAAGCTTTTTGGCTACTCCAACACTGGATTCAAAGTTTTTAAGGTGATGATTTAAGGACGATTTAGGGAAGAACCAAATAAGGTGATGACGATCTTCATAGCCCTGTCTTTCAAGGTATGTCTCATCATCTCTAAACACCCTTTCTGCAATCAGCTGTTAGTCAATAGTCACCCCTTATTCTTCTTTTTGTATCCTCTTAACCAAATACAAAGCAATGTAAACCGTCCCATATACTGGTTTATTTTTTGCACTCTATCGAACTGGTCAGGGGTCCGGTTCTTGGGTTGAACGGTCCGACTGTTTGAATTGAACGGACAACCCGTTTTGACAAAAAAAATAAAAACTAGCTAAACTATTGAACGGTTCGACTGCCTGGGTCAATGATTTACTAACAAAATCAACAGTTTTGGGGGAAAAACGGTTATGGGGTAAAACAGAACTGGTTACCTAATTGGATCCCAGTTTTTCCGGTCTGGTTGGTTTTGAAAACCATGCTTTCAAAAATGCCATTGATACCAAATACCAAGGTTTTTAAAACCAACCCGAATAACGAACCGATCAGGAGTTTGGTTCCTAGGTTGAAAAAAAAAATAAATTTAAAAAAAAAAATGGCCAAACCGTTGAACGGTTCGACCGCCTGAGTCAGCGGTTTGCTGACAAAATCAACGGTTATGGGGTAAAACAGAACTGGTCACCTAACTGGTTTCCAGTTTTTCTAGTCTGGTCCGGTTTTGAAAACTATGCTTTCAAAAATGCCATTGATACCAAATACCAAGATTTTTAAAACCAACTTGGACAACGAATCGATCAGGGGTCCGATTCCCAAGTTGAACAGTTTGACCGTTCGAAACGAACGGATAACCCATTCTAACAAAAATAACAAATTTAAAAAATAAAAACTGATCAAACCGTTGAATAATTCAACTGTCTGAATCAGCAGTTTATTGACCAAATCAACGGTTTCAAAGGAAAAATGATTATATGGAGTAAAATAGAATCGATCACCTGACTGATTCCTGATTTTTTTCGGTGCGATTCAGTTTCGAAAATCATGCCAAATACCATCCTAAAACCGTGAAATTATGGTCTTCATATAATTCAAGTTGCGGACGGCAACAATATATGAATTGTTGAGATCCACATATTAGCCCAAGACTAAGGATGCTCATCAAAAACTGAAAATTCTAATTAACCAATTTACCGGTTCTGATTCAGTATTTTTGAAAAAACAAAGGTATTGGTTAAATTTTGATTGACCAATATGAAAAACCAGTTGTTAATCAAACCAATCGATATATATATATATATATTTTTATATACGATATAGTCTAATTTTTTGCACCAAATCTACCCTTCTTATTTTTAGCCCCTTTTTGTTACTTCTATTACTCGTTATTTCTATCAATTTACTTTCCCCATTTTTTTGACAAGAACACCCACTTTGGTAAAACCGGTAGGAGGCCACCAAGTGGTAGAAACACAGAATGACAGAAATTGCATAAAAAAAGAGACCAACAGAAATTATCGCTCATCCCAATGAATTTCAATAGGGATGCATGCCTCCAATTGAAGAACGTTGACAATTTGATTAAGCACGGAATAGTCAGTGATGGGTAGAAGATCCAATTTTTTTTTTCCATTTTCCCAGAAGATGTATTATTATGCTTTTTTTATTTAGTTTCTTTAACACCTAAAAAAATCTAATACATACATATATTTTTAATGCCAAGTGTATCTTTTGTCCAAGTTCCCTAATACTTTTATTTATTGCATATTAATTTGTTATCATATATACGTGAAGAAATTGAATGCTAGAATGTTATTATTGGAAAACTATAACTGTATGGACACTTCAGTAGTCTCTCCTTCGAGGGACTTTGCACAATTTTCATGGTTTAAGATATCTTCTTTAGTTCATGTGCCTATATGATGTTAGTAGAGCTTGGGTGATTCTGTAGTTCATGTTTGAAATTGAACCATTGAGTAGCTTGTTTATTGAGGTTAAAATGAGATTTTCAAAAAAAAAAAAAATAAATAAATAAATAAAGAAGACAGGTGTGATGTAGTTAAATCCCAGTCTTTATTTGCCTCAACAGAAGAGCAGAGATTATATGCAACTGCCTAGCTGCAGAGGCACAATCTAATTGGAAAATTCCAGGGTAGGGTTGCTAAAAGTTTATTGTTAGATAAAATAATGAACTACATAGTTACAATCTTTGAACCCATTATTATTTTTTTTTAATCCTAATTTCTATTCTTACACTTTTAGAAATTAATAGAGCAACTTAACTATGGATATCTTTCGTAATTAGGGCCCGTTCATTTGTTAGTATTTAGCAAGAGTTAAATTGGTTAAATGGTCAATTGACTATAATCCCTATATTCATATATCACTATATATTGGATTTAGGGGTATAAATGGATTTAATTCGAATTGGATCAGTTAATATCAGAATTTGAATCCGATTAAATATTTAAATATTTAAATATTCGATTCGGTTAATTAATTATTTTAGATAATTAATAAATATTTTATTGATATAAAGTATATAAATATATAAATATTTATATAACTTAATTATTATATATAAAATATTTTATGTATTATATATAATAATTAAATAATCAGTTGAATTTAGATATTTATCAAATCGAAACAGATCATATCCGAATTCGATATTCGATTTAATTATACTAAATATCGAATTCGATATCAGATTTTCAAATACCGTTGAAACCCCTAATTGAATCACACGGTTAGTCAATTCCAACAACAAATGGCATAATATTAATACTAGCTTGGCAAATGGTGTTCATTTGACTTATTTCTTTTAAGTTGCTCCAACGCAAATACTAACTTTTGTTACAAGGACAAGCGTGTCAAGCACACCCTTTGAAATTATATACCTTTAAACACAATGTTATAGGTCATTGGCACAAGACACAACACAATGCCTGTATGGAATCATACCGGGTAAGATGCACCATGCAGATTCCACATAGATGGTGGATTTCTTATCCATCACCTATGAAATTTAAGTGCGCAAGTATTGGAACTAGCACGTGCACTAAATATTTAAAAAAAAAAAAACTAAAACAAAAGCAGAACCAATAACAAACCAAACCAATTACTGATTGATTTTGATTCAATTTTGGTTCACGATTTTCAAAAAATTAATATTAATTAATAAAAGATAAATCTAACCGAACGTGAACACCACTTAAAGATTATGCCTACGAGTGTAACTGATTTCACATTAGTAAAAGAGTTTATCAAGTAGTCCCTTTGAATTTTGATTAACTAAATGCTTTAAGTGTTTAGGATGCTGTGAAGGTGAAATCAATAATAATATTCCACACCAGTGATAAAATACATAAGATCGACACTGAAAATTTGAATAATTGTAGCTCTATATATACATGACTGGTGTGGAGGAGTATTCTTACTGTTTCCACATACAGCTAAAGCGTTAATCTCATATCTCGGTCTGCCACATATAAAATGAGAATATACATGCAATCTGATAAGCAATTGAGGATATTTGTTGATGTTACTTTTAATTCTGGATGATACCGGAGTTGGGTCAATTTCATCTGCGCATGGGCAGTGTCGTCCGCCTTGAATCATCTGGAATATGCGCCCATTCTAACACCATCCTCACGTGGAAAAACTTGGGCTGTTTTCCAAACTGGTTTGGTTTGGTAGGGTGTTCTTCTCTGAATGATATCTATTATAAGTGTGGATAAAAAGGTATTTACACTCGATATTTTTTGAATTGAAAAGACAATTGAAGACCTAAATAAATAAGTATCATGTGCAGGTCTCTCAAAACAGTCCAAACTGTTTTTTCCCAACAGCTAAAGTGATCTGACCTCACGTGCCCACCAAACCCACTTGGCACCACGCCATTCCCAGGGCCAGGGGTTGGGTTACCCTTGCGTTCCATTGCCCATTGGTAGGTGAATTGATCCTATCAACGTTAACGTATACACCCGTCCGTCACCGAAATTATGAAGGAAAGGAGAATGTTGCAATGCTACAACCACCATCATATCTCTGCTCGCCCATCGATTGTCATGTGGGTCCCGGGTATACAGAATACTGACGTGTTCCTGTATGATTGGTCGCCTAGATCGTCGTACACAGCGTCGCGAGCAGCCGATCCCGACGCTTCTATTGTCTGTCTGTCTGTTTTGTCTTGTGGACCATGGTAGTGGTAGTGGGCCTTGATATTCGGGATGTCAATGACATTAAAACCCATGTATGTCGGGACATGGCGGATCACACGATTCGCGTCATCACAACCAAATGGACGGAGGAGATCTTCCATTACTACACTCCACGTAGTATCAGCGGCTGTTGTTGCCTCCTCATATCACAAACAATCCTCCTTATTTCCCACGGTACCCTCACCCACCTTTTGGAATCGAAACTATGAACTATGAACCCTCTCAAGTCTCGAGTCTCAACAACCTCTAACCTCCTACTTTTTTTTTTTTCTGAGAATTTCTAACCTCCTACTTGAAACTTGAAAGATAAATAATCCAAAGACGATTTTGCCCTCCCTAACCAGTTCCTTCTCAACTTAATAATAGAGTGTGTGAGACGGACAAGAAGATCTCCGCCGTTTTTGTTCCTGGTTTCTCTTCACGGTTTCCGCCGATCTACGCCAATCATGTCTTCCTCTACTTTGGTTATCCCTAACGGCGACGCCACTATCAGGCAGCCTGCTCCGGCGCCGAGCCCCGGCCGTTTTGCTGAAGTCTATAGCGAAGTTCAGACACACCGTCTGAAGCATTCTCTGCCTCTTCCTTCTGTCCTTAAAAGCCCTTTTAAGATTGTCGAAGGTCCTCCAAGCACCGCTGCTGGAAACCCAGGTCATTATCTCTGAAGCAGGAATACTTGTTTACTTCAAGAGGATCTATGCTTTTCCATGCAGTCGATTGGGTTTGCTTTGTTATTCAATTAGGTTTTCCTTATTTCTGTTTGTAGATGAGATCGCTAAGCTTTTCCCCAACGTATTTGGGCAACCTTCTTCAATGCTGGTCCCTAGCGATTCGGCGGCACTGGCATCAAATGAAAAGTTGAAGATTGGTGTCGTGCTTTCTGGTGGCCAAGCTCCTGGAGGACATAATGTTATTTCTGGAATTTTTGGTGAGGATCTCTCTTTATTTCTTTGACAAGCTTGCTTCGATTGCATTTTGTATGTTTTTGATTTTTTCTTTAATATAAATATAAATACTGTTTTGTCCGGTTCTAGATTACTTGCAGGATCGTGTGAAAGGTAGCACACTATATGGATTCAAGGGAGGTCCTGCTGGGATCATGAGGTGCAAGTTTGTGGAACTGACCCCGGACTACATCTATCCCTACAGAAATCAGGTAAGGCTTAGTTATTCGTAAAAGATTGCATGCCATGGCTCTATGAATAGCTATTGATGGTTCGTTACTTGGTTCTATTGCAGTCACGTTCTATTTATTTTTCGTATTTTTTCTCGCTTTGTTTGCGAACTTTGACTATTTGATGTGCATGGGCTTCCCGCTTCCATGAAGTTTTCTATATGGTGGTAGAGAGGGATTCAATCAGTTTAAATCTGAATGGGCTGGATAAGTTTTTCTATGTAAATATCTCTCTATGCCATGCATATGGGTATGTTTATAGTATTAACACCGTCCGTGGATTCTTACATATTCGACATACTCAATTCTATACGCAGTATGCATGTCATGGTCTTCTGTAGCAATGTGGGTTTGTGCATTTAGTGTTAAATATATGCATGCGTATTATTTGAGTATGCTCATCTAAGATAGCAGAAAGTCTGAACGTGGTGTTTGTTTACTCTTCTTTGGTCGGCATATGTTACTTTGTCATGTGTATGATGAATTTTTTTTATTAGAGGTCTTTCAAGTGACTAAATTTGAGTTCCGTTAACAGGGTGGGTTTGATATGATACGCAGTGGAAGGGACAAGATTGAAACTCCGGAACAGGTGTGCATTTTCTACTTTTTTTCTCACAATTTCAAGTTCGGTCACTATGATTTGCAATCATTTGGTATTTAGGTGGATTTAATCTTTTAGATTAAATAATGACAGTGATGGCAACTAAGTTTGCATGGATATGCTTTTCAGTTTAAGCAAGCTGAAGAAACAGTATTAAAGCTTGATTTGGATGGGCTTGTTGTTATTGGTGGAGATGACTCAAATACAAATGCTTGTCTCCTTGCTGAAAACTTTAGGTATGGTATCTGGCTGTTGTACAATTCATGCCTAGGGTTTGGATTCCTTATGGTCAGAAATGAAAAGTCTTTATTTGGGTAATTGCAGTGGTGGTTCCACTGATGCAATTTTGTGCTTTAATTTACTAATTAGGGCAAAGAATATGAAAACTCGGGTGCTTGGATGTCCAAAGACAATTGATGGTGACCTGAAGTGCAAGGAGGTTCCTGCAAGTTTTGGGTTTGATACTGCATGCAAGGTGATCATGTCTATGACTTCAATTTTCATATCTTTAGTTTTAGTATCATTAATCTATTGCAATCCAGTAATATAGGCCAAGTTTAAGTTAAACTGTATATATCATTTTATTGATGCAAAATATTTTACCCTTAATATGATTGTTCAATAAGCAAATCTTGTTTATAGTAGGTATTTACAGGTTGGTTCTTTGATTTAGTTGGAGTTTTTGATATTATCATTGCTGATGCTGCTTTTTTGAAAAGTAAGCAAAGACTTGTATATTGAAGAAAAGAGAACCAGAATTTCAAAACTATATGAGGTATAAGTTGAAGCATCCTTATATAATTAGAAAACAGGAGAAATTATAAAGAATATCTTCTATATATAAAAACAAATAAACAATTAAATCAACACTGTTGCAGATAAATTCAATATCCTTTTGACCTAATAATACCCTCTTCCAAAGGTCGAATTGAAGGTATTTGCACCACACTATCTTCTGTGGACCCCAAATATAGCAGAGGAACTTAATTGCTGAAGGATCCAACTTTGAATTGCCTAGTAGGTCAGCCTCTAGTAAGGTTCAGGATGCTTGAGCAATCACATAACACAACTATACAAAAAGAGGTGCAGGGAGCCAGGGACGTTCATGTCATTAGAAATAAATAAATGACCTGTTAACAAGTAGCCCAAGGACCTTATTATCCCCCTTTCCCCTTTCCTGCCTTTCTTATCTCCTTCTTTCCCTACCCATAATTTTGTAATCTTATGTTGTGACAGTGTCCAGAAGCTTTGTCTATTACCTAATTGTGTTATGATTTAATTTTCTTATTGTGTCGGTGTTTTTTTCCTCACAAAACTTAGAGCAATGAGGTGATTTTTGGCCAATTAAAAATTAAAATTGTGTGATGGTAGTTGTGTAATCCTAGATGAATTGGTGTGAGATTCTATTTCTCTTCTATTTTTTTTTTCCAATTTTATTTTTCTGCCCATTTAATCTTGACCAGAACTCTCTTTTGATAATTTATAAATCTATAAAAGGCATAGTTCCCTCTTCTGAAATTTGGCTGTGCTAGATGCTGTACAAACCGAGTAACTAACATTGTCACTTGTATTCAAATGAAATTTGGTTAGCCACAGTTGTTGCCCTTATCTAATTACATTATTTTTCATTAACAATAGTTTTTCTAAGTATGTTTTTCTGTATGTAAATTCCATCAACTAGATTATAGAAGATAATACATCTGTAATGAAATCAAGGAATGGGTCCAAATTGATCTTAATATTATTTATTGAAACGGGACTCAGCTTTAGTGTGTCCTGTTCATAGCCACTGATGTACTTGTTTATTTTGGCTATGTAGATTTATGCAGAAATGATAGGAAATGTGATGACAGATGCCCGTTCAACTGGAAAATACTATCATTGTAAGTTCACTGATTTTGAAATTTCTTATAATCAGGCATTTTAGATATACATTCTGCCTGTTGCACCACAATCTTCTGCATCATCTGGAATTCTAAGAATCCTTTACAGCTGATCCCAGTAGGTAATTTTGGCATGAAGCTGCATTTTGAATAAGCTATCAAGATGATTAGTTTCTGAAAATTGTTTTGATCTAGATAATGTTTCTCACATTAAAGCCTGCCATTGTATAGACATTAAGATACACAGTATGGAACTTTTTGTGCTGTCCTTCAGCTGGTCAAAGATGCAATGGGAGTGTGGGTCTGTTCTTTTGTTTTTATTGTTTCCTATTTTTTCTTACTATTTCTTCTCCATCTCTTCTATTTCTTCTATCTTCCTATATGTGCCCTATTTAGTGAGTTATGCATCAAAACTATGACAATAAACATATACACAACAAAATTATAGGAATTTTAAATTTCACATGATTATTATTTTGGTTACCCTTGAGACTGAAGCAAATGTTAGAATCTTGAATATTTGTATGTAATTTTATTCCTTGATCTCATTAGTTCTCTCCTCAAATATATGACGAGCGACGGATTTCCCTTGGATGGTCTTTCGCCTGGAAGAGTTGAGCTTAATTTTGGTGGTTAAGTTCTCATATGTGGGTAGGTCATGTACTGGGTCACTGGGTTAGTCTTTTATTCTACATGTTAGCAAGTGCATTTTTTTCAAGATGACAGAAAATTATATAAACTTTGTTATAACATAAATTATACAAAATTTGCAGGTAGGGCCTGACCTACATTATGTGTGGACTTCATCCAGCCTGAACCAGGTTGGGTTTGGAAGAAAAACTTGTGCTTGGGGCCCTGGGCCTGGAAATTTCTGGGCTGGGCAATGCAGGCCTGAGAAGAATCGATCATTCCTATTTGTGGGTTGTGTTTTTAGCCTATGACTTGTGCATTCTCTTGGTTATGATATGGTGGAGGCGCGGAGCTTGAGGTGGATTCTCAAAATAGTAATTGGGTCAATATGATGGAATTTTGGGGAGGGTGGTCAATGATTTCTATAGAACCATCTATATCTATATCTATACTACTTATAAAAGTGCGAATGAGGGGGTATTGGCTTCTGGAATTTTTCTTTACTAAAATTAAAAGAATACCATTAAGTACATTCAATTACCTCTCATTAAGTCTCACATTTAAGTCATTAAATAAATCACATTCTCTCTCATTGAACCTAACATTTATGCTTTTGTTTCTCATCATTAAATTCCACTAATAAATCCATACACTATTTATTAATAAAATGAAATTTTATATTTTTTAAAATAAACATATAAATGAAATCATATTTTTCATCTAGGTGGTGGGTAAGTAGTTCAACCATTTGGGTCAAATGGATAATTTCATGATGTCATAAATAAATAATACAAATTTAGAAATATAAAAAATACTTTTGTTTATGATTATTAAATTCCACTAATAAATCGATATACAATAATTATTAATAGAATGAAATTTTATATTTTTAAAACAAACCTAGAAATGAAATCATATTTTCCATCTAGGTCGTGGGTAAGTACTTCAACCATTTGGATCAAATGGATAATTTCATGATGCCATAAATAAATAATACAAATTTAGAAGTATAAAAATATAGAAAAAAGATTATTTCTAAATATAAAAATTTAGAAATAAGAAGTTTACAAAAATGTAAACAAAAATATATATAAATAATTGATCTGCCCACAATATTAAAAACAAATATTCAAACAATATATTGGAATTGCATTTACTCTTGGTAAATAAGTAATTTTTATTATCTCATAAGTTAAATAATAAAAAATAAAAATATAGATTTTTTTATAAATTTTATAGAAAAATTTTGGACATGCATTAATATTCTTCATATTAAACAAAAATATGTTTGAAAAATAAGAATTATTGTTAGTAAAGATAGGAATGGCTAAAATACAATGAAAAAAATGAATTAATGTATTAATCGTAGTCCATTTTCTTGGTTAAATAGGTTAATGATTCAACTAGTAAGGTCATTTGGTTGCTGACTATCATCGTCATCATCATTTGATATTGCCACGTGCAACATATGTGCACTTTTACTAGTTGCTAGAAAAGTTTGATCCTTATGATATAGAAGAAAAACTGCCTTTTGAGAATAAAGGACTGTTTAGAAAGTTGCAAAAATTCAAAAGAAAGTAACAGAAATCAGAGTTCAAGAGGAGAGAAGAAGAAGAAGAAGGTGGCGGCAACTTGGGTTCAGAGAGAGAGATTTTCGAACATAATCCCTTCTCTTACTCCCTTAATTCTATTTTATTAAGTTAAACTTTAGTAATTTACAGAGAAGCCCCTAGTTGGGCAGAAAATTAAAAAGACATAACATTAGAAAGAATAAAGCCCAGATTAAGGCCCATTACAGCAAAGAACATAAAAGATAAAAGGGATAAATAGCCTATGGGCCATTCGGCCCATCTTCTCTACAGATACTTATGCGAGCATCTTGTCTTGGGCCTGTCAATGGGTTGGGTCTGGGTTAGGTCTAGGAACCAGTTCCGAACCGATTATTAATCGGGACAAAATAGCTGACCTAGAACCATCCCAATTAATAGTCGGGTCTATTGGGGTCTTTATTTATTTAAATAATGGCTTAAAATGTAAATTTTGATAATCTAATCTTAACAAAAATGATAATAAAATACTAAAATGTTTATATGTTAATAAAATAAATGTTTTTAATTAATATTATCATATATATTATCTATCAACTTCACCTTGCCAAACATAAAATATAATAAAAATTAAAATAAAATTAGGGCAGGATAATAATAATAATAATAATAATAATAATAATAATAATAATAATAATAATAATAATAATAATAATCGGTGGCAGAACCAACCCATTGACAACCTTATCTTGTCTTACTCTTAAAAAATCAGAAATTTATAGTACTACAGTTATTCTAGGGTAGTTCCATTTTTTTATTTGGGAGGGGGGAGGGTTCTGATATTTGTTTATTGGGGCCTTCTTGTATTGATAGGAGAGTGTCTCATAAAAACTTTATTTTCCTTTAGTTGAAGGGACTAATCCATCATTCTTTTTTTTTCATGTTTTGTTCTAATCCAATATAATTTTTATGATGAAAATAAAAGTAAAACTTTTTTTTCCCAAATGAGATCCGGAGTTTCATTTTGCCTTTTTTTCAGTTTTCTCTTTTAATAGACATGATATGTGAAATCCTATTGATTGTCCAAAAAAATGTGTGTAGCAGAAATGTGTATTCTTAGATGGACAGAGTGGTAAAACTTGGAAAGGATAGGGTCAGAAATGAAGTCATACAGAGGAACCTAGGAGGTCCAGTGGATGATAAAATGAGAGAAAGTAGACTGAGGTGGTTTGGTTACGTGCGTAGAAGACCATCTACAACACCTGTTAGAAGTTATCTGTTACAAGTTGAAGGGACTAGAAGAGCCCTTGCTTTTGCAAAGCTGACTTGCTCCTAGATTTCAATAACATGCTTTTTGTAAAGCATAGACCTCTTATTAAGCAAATAAGTATAAAGCTGTTACACGCAAGATTATTTGCAAAATGTTAAGTTTGGCCAACTCTTATTTGTTATTATTTTCTGTTATTTACATTCTGTATGAAAAGGCTATTTTTGCTTCCATCATATTCATTCTTGGTCCTTCCTGTTGTCTTTTTAAAATAGCATTTTAAGCATCTCTGTATCTGCAGTTGTGAGGCTTATGGGGCGTGCAGCTTCTCACATCACATTGGAGTGTGCTTTGCAGACTCACCCAAACATCACCATTATTGGTGAAGAGGTACATTCTGATATTTTCTTTGATTAACTTTCAGAAGAGCTAGTTGGTTCCTAGTATATATGTTCACAATGTGCAACCTTCCATGCATAATCAGTGTTTCTGATTTTGACTATTACCACATCAGTTTCTTAATTGTCCAAACATGAAATCCTTTTCCCTCAAACTGTTTGCAAAAGAATGCTGTTGCAGTATAGAAGTGGTGGGCTAGTGGCTACTTTACAATTTTAGGCAAGCAGAGTATCCTTTTCTTTTTGGACCATATAGATGTTTGTTATTCGATATTTTGACTCTGGGCGGAAGTTAATAACTTAATATTGTGATTAATTTTTTTTATCAATTACTGTGAAATTTCATTAGATCAGAAAGACAATATAGTACAGTGATTAAAACCAAAGAAAAGATAGTGAGAGATGAAACAACTTATCTCTCCCCTTAGATACACCCTTCCCTTACAATTGTGCCCAGAACAGAACTTTTCGTCCCACCCCTTGTTTTACTAGAGAATCAGCAAAGAAGTTGGCGATACGCTTGCACCAGTTGACAGAAATTTCCATATCCCTTGTTAGCCATCTGAATTTTTTTCATTTCATTATTGTAAACCCACATTTTCATCTCAGCACTGTGCAGTCAATTTACAACCAGTTGTGGATCCCCCCTTTTTTTGACCAATAACAGTGAATTTTATTAATTGAATAAAAAGTTACATAGCAAGGGAGCTAAACAATCTTAACTCCCAAAAACTTGTAAAAGCAAGTAAAAAGCAATTACAACAGTTCACCCCTTGCCTAGCTAGACCCATCTGCCAATGAATTTGCCCTTTACCCATGTACATTGAATTTCAAGTTCCTTAGTCAGCCACTTAAATTTTCTCTTTTCATTGCTGTACTCCAAAGCCTAGAGTTGACCTCTTTTAGCCAGCTCACCACAATTCTGGAGGGCCTTTTTTCATCTCTTATAACTCCCCCTATTCTGGAGGGCCCTGGATTGCCCAAACTGCTGCCATTGAAATTCAGTTTAGTAAAACCCTGCGGTGGAGTGGTCCGACAAGAACTTGAAGCCTTCTTGGCTGAAACTGATTATGCAATCTCCTTCCACTTTCTTAGCAATTCATCTACAGAAAAATCTGCAAACAGGTCCAAGATTTTCAGCCAATGTATCACCCTAATATGAGTAACCTCCACCATTACTTCCAAACTTCTCTCCTTTTTTTGAAAAAATCCATGAGTTTCTCTCTTCCCAGATAGTCCAACAAACTGCAGCCTTAACACATCATCACATACTTGCCCCTTTTTGTTGACCAGTTAGGAGTGGAAGTGAATAAGCTTTGCACATCCAATGGGGGTGTCCACCTGCACCCAAACAAAGAAGTAAACCATTCCCAAATGAATTTAGCAAACTGATAGGAAATTAGTAAGTGGTATCAAGACTCACCATCGGCTTTACAGTGGACACACCGGTGAGGAGACAAATAGCTGTTGGGTCTTTTCCTTTGAAGCAAATCTCCTGCGTTAACTCTTTCTAGAAAGGCTTCCCAATAGAAACTCCCAACCTTCGGAGGTATAGGTTGACACCACACCTCTTTAACATGGAAGGACAGTCCAACAGAAGATGGTTGTAATAGGGCTTTAAAGAATAAGACATAGGTGAAGGAACCCAAGGGAGTGTGTCCAGATTCTACTGTCTGCCTTTGTTGGATCCGGGAAAACCCCATCAAGGATGGATAGTAAAGATAAGGTACAATCTAACTTAGAGTCCCATATGTTTCTTCTCAAACCTAAGGGTAGTGATAGCAAAAAGAGCCGGAAATTGGTCTTTTAAAGGGGAATTTCCAACCCAAACATATTCTCAAAATTTAATGAGATTGCCTGAGTGCAAATCATACCTGATCCAGGGAGAGAACAAAGGCAAAATAGCTTGAATAGCTTTCCAGGGAGATGCTCTTGTTGTCCTTGTCAGAATCCCAGAGTCCCATCCATTGTCTGCAATCCTGTGAATACTACCCATTATCTTAACTCAAAGCTTTTCTTTCTCCAATGAGAATCTCCACAACCATTTCCCTAGTAGTGCCAAGTTCCTATTCCTTATGTTCTCAATACCCAAATCTCCCTCCTCCTTGCTTCTACACACCACCTCCCACCTAACCCTATGGTCCTTCTCCTCCCCCAGCTCCCATAGGAAGTCTCTCATTAGTTTTTTCAACCTTCTAGCCACCCAAGTTGTGAATCCCCTTCCACTACTAATTTCCTAATATTCAAGGATCGTGCCCTTTGAACTGCTTCCATCATTGCCAAAACCTCTGCTCTGAGTGAATCTTCCTCTCCCACTGGGCCTGAAAATATAGCTATTGTTCTCCCCTTAGCATCCCTAATACACCTCCAATTCCTGATGGTTGTGGGTTTCTACCATGCTACTACCATCAAAGTTAAGTTTGATGAAACCTGTTTCTGGTGGAGACCAAAAGTGTGTAGTGGCAGGTGTACAAGGAGCAGATTTTGCTACTTCTTTCCAATTTCTCAGAACATCATCCGCATTACACTAGAAAAGGACTCAAGAGATCTGAGCCAATGAGCCACCCTAACCATTATTGTTTCAATCAGGTCTTCCTTATTTCTTTCCTTGTCCAGAAATAATCTTGAATTCCCTTCTTTCCAAACTGTCCATAGTATTGCCGCTCTAGTACATGTCCACATCTGTCTTCCCCTCTTGTATAGACATGGAAAGAATGAAGGATCAAACAATTGTTGCACATCAACCGGAGGATTCCATCTACACCCAAACAAGGAGAAAAACCATTCCCAAATATAGGCAATAAAGGAACAAGAAATAAATAGATGGTAACAGTTCTCACCATTAGCTTTGTATAAGACACGCCAATGAGGGGATAAGCTTCGGTTTTTGCGCTTTCTTTGAAGCAGAATGGAAATGTTCATCTTTCCATTGACAACCTCCCAACAGAAAGCTCCAATCCTAGGGGGAATTGGCTTGCACCAAAACTCTTTAGCTGGAAGCGAAGGCAAAGAACTAGTGGAAGGGCTCTATAGAAGGAAGCACAGGAGAAGGTTCAACAAAGACTTCCTCTAGTAATTGTAGTAAGTTCATCACATTTTGAAGCTCAGAATCTCCTATACCTGTCCTAAACCCTAAATCCCAACTTACTCCATTGGTAGAGTTCGAGGGAACAAGGAACTTGGAAATAGGCTAATTTTTCAAACAAGAGAGGACAAAGAAAGAGGGGATTTGTTCTTTCAAAGGGAAGGAGCCCAACCAAGTGTGTTCCCAGAAATTAACTCCATTACCACTACAAAGATCATACCTGTTAAAGGGAGTGAAAGAAGGCAGGATTTTGTTGATAGCCTTCTAGGGAGATGCACGACTTGCCCTAGTCGTGCTCCAACATCCCATCCATTATCCAAGAGCCCATGGATGCTTGCTATGATCTTGGCCCATAATTTCTCTTTCTCCAATGGCATTCCCCACAACCATTTTCCTAGTAATGCAGTATTCCTCCTTTGTATGTTGACTATGTTCCCTATCCCCAACCCCTTGTTTTTACCCCTACACGCTGCTTCCCACCTTACCCTATGATCCCTCTTACTTTCCCCTGGTTCCCATAAGAAGTCCCTCCTTATCTTCTCTGACCTCTTCTTCCCTACACCTACTGGAATCCTGAGAACTGACAAGTCATAGACCGGTAGGTTAGATAGGGTGACCTAATCAGAGTAATCCTTCCCCCCAAGGATAAGTACCCTTTCTTACAAGACGCAACCTTTTGGTAATTCTTTCTACCACCGGGTTCCAAAAGCTTACATCTTTAGGATTAGAACCAAGAGGTAGGTGGCAGGCCTAGGTAGGTCAGAGGCCATTGAGCTATACAACACCCCAAGATATTTGCACATTCAGCCATCTTCTCTTTTGTCATGTTGATCCCAGCTATAAAACTCTTTTCAAAGTTTATTGTGATTAATTATTTAAGTTGAAGATCTTTATCTTTTTTCAAGTTTGCAGCATTTTCCTGCAATGGATCAACAATGGTCCAACAGAACCAAGAGGTAGGTGGCAGGCCTAGGTGTAGGTCAGAGGCCATTGAGCTATACAACACCCCAAGATATTTGCACATTCAGCCATCTTCTCTTTTGTCATGTTGATCCCAGCTATAAAACTCTTTTCAAAGTTTATTGTGATTAATTATTTAAGTTGAAGATCTTTATCTTTTTTCAAGTTTGCAGCATTTTCCTGCAATGGTCCAACAAAACACTGGCATGCCAGTGACCAAACCAAAAAGCAAATCACCCAGTGTTTTGGATTTAAAACATTCAGGGATCATTTCCATGTTTCATTGGTGTTTTCAATGGTCCATTGTTGTATCCGATGTGAACTCCAACTTTTGAAATATCTTACATTTTCTTTGCTGGAGATTTAAATAGAAGGCTGGGAAACACTAAGTTTATTTCCTAATGAAGTTGTAATCTCTTAAAATATCATCAATATCCGTATAACCTTGGATAATTGCTTTTGGAACTTGTAATTGTGGAGGTTTAGTCTTGAATGGTAAGTTTGGGATGGTAATTGGTCTTGGTGATTAAGCACCCAAAAACGGTTTTCATATTTGTTTAGGGTGCATGGAGGAAGTAAGTTTCAGTATTTCCTTTTCAAGATTTCTTTTTGCCTGATTCGGCATCAGATCAAGCTTCCTGGATTGTAAAGGTGATTTTGTATCTGTCCTTAGACCCCGCATTGGTGGAATCCTCGTACACTGGGCTGCCCATTTGAAAAGGCAATACCTCTGTTTAGTGAGCAAACTTTCTTGGATATATTAGGAACATGTGATGAGAGGGGGGATTGATAGTATTGACTGGGATTCTTGATTTTTTTTACCCTTTTAGATAGATAGAATATTTGATAACATTTCACATTTACTTTAATCTTGTAAATGTTTCTCATTTGCACAGTTGTTTGATTAGGCTATACATGATGCAGGTTGCTGCCAAGAAGCAGACGTTAAAAAATGTTACGGATTACATTACAGATATAATATGCAGACGTGCTGAACTTGGTTACAACTATGGTGTTATACTTGTACCAGAAGGCTTAATTGATTTCATTCCTGAGGTATTAATGCAGATCATAATTTTACTACCTTCTATACTTGTTTACACATGGTCAAGGTGCACTCTTGGGGAAGCATTTGCATTTATGGAGTTTTAATCATTTGTTATGTTGTCTGAAACATATAAGCTCTTGACATTTTGAGTTGGTCGAGTTGCTTGCAGGTACAACAACTTATTGCAGAGCTGAATGAAATTTTAGCTCATGATGTTGTTGATGAAGGTGGGCTGTGGAAGAAGAATCTCCAACATCAGTCTCAGTTGCTTTTTGAATTTTTACCTAGAGCAATTCAAGAGCAATTATTGCTTGAAAGAGATCCCCATGGAAATGTTCAGGTGATTATTTTGTATTCTTCAGCTTGCTTGCAGTTGTCTAGACACCTCTTTACCTGTTTGATTATATTAATTGCTGGTTTTTTTAGGTGGCCAAAATTGAAACGGAAAAAATGCTCATTCAAATGGTTGAAACTGAGCTGGAGAAAAGGAAGCAGGAGGGCACATATAAAGGCGAGTTCAAAGGGCAGTCCCACTTTTTCGGGTAACCATCTCAGTTCTAAAAACCATATTCTTAAGTCACCTTTTTATCCCTGGGGAAATAATGGTGTCATGTCCAACATGAGAGGTTATTATTAGTTGATAATATTTATTATATGATTGACATTTGGGGAATAGAAGATTGTAATCCCCATGGTTGTCAAGGGCCTCAAGGCGTCTAGGCCACAGTCAAGCGCCTAGTTGCCTAGGTAGGTGTGCCTAGGTGATAGAACTTTACAAAGACACTAAATTCTAGGTTAGTTTCCTTATTATACAAGCCAATCAACATTCATATAAAATGAAAGAAAATGGCAATACTCTTTACCAATAATGTTAATTTCCTCTAAAAAATATTGCAGGTTCTTATCAAAACAATAATAGCATTTTAAATCAATTAACTTCAATATTTCAAACACAATACTACCCCCATTTGTGGTATTAGTTCTTACCTGTACTTTATTTTCTTTTCCAGTTATGAAGGAAGATGTGGTTTGCCAACAAACTTTGATTCTACCTACTGCTATGCTCTTGGTTATGGTGCTGCTGCCCTCCTCCATTTTGGAAAGACTGGGCTCATATCCTCAGTATGTCTTCCATCCTATATTTTTCATGATTGTTCTCCTCATTCTTGTGGATAAGCTTGTTTGTTTTACTTCTAGGTTTTTTGTTGTCTTCCTTGACATATTCTGTTTGATGGAGTCAACAGGCATCACTCTGGGCTTAACTTATTTTATTCATTTTATCATTGCTTATTCAGGTTGGTAATTTGGCTGCTCCAGTTGAAGAATGGACTGTTGGTGGAACTGCATTGACATCATTAATGGATGTAGAGAGGAGACATGGTATATTATAGCTCCTGTTGCTTTGACATATTTTGGGAATAACCTGTGATTTTCCATCTCAAGATTAATCAATTTTACAATGAACAAGGCTTAACCATCATGGGAATTTGAATATCAAACTTGTCCAAGTGCTGGGGATATTAAGGGTTTTGTACCATGAACACCTTAATTGAGGTGCTGATTTGGGCAAATTCTGGTTTTTGATGGATTGGACAGACTTAAGTGGAAAGAAGCAGGATATACTTATAAAAGTAAAACCATGGGGTGGTAATTTGTTCTTTTAAAACAATTTTTTTCCCTTTTTATGTTTTTGATCAATAACATGATCAGTGCTTGCCGAGTGGAAACAGGGCAAGCAAGATGGTGGAACCTCTCAATAGACATTACGTACATACCATACTCAATATAAGAAAGAAAATTTATCCTCTCGTATTGTTTTTCTGATACCTCATGCCAATACATACATGCATACAAATTTTTACATCTATTCTCAAGATTTAGTCAACTCTACCCTAATTATAATTAACCAATATAACTTTTTTTCAATATTCAAAATTTAGTTTAAGGAAATTTTTAATCGAAGACACGATGATGGCTTATCTATTGTTCTTATGGTTTTGTATTCTTTATTTTGAATTTCATGCTCTTGTATTTTTAAAAGTTAAACTTGCTTTTCAGGTAAATTCAAGCCAGTGATAAAGAAGGCAATGGTGGAGCTTGATGGTAACTCTTTTTTAGATATTCTTCTGGCATAGCATTATAATTGTGCACTTGGACAGTTTTGAGTTGACTGTATGACAAAGATTCTGGCCAAATCAAGTAAATTTATTTATGATGATAAAATTTCAGGCGCACCATTCAGAAAGTTCGCGTCCATGAGGGAAGAGTGGGCCTACAAAAACAGATACATCAGTCCAGGTATGTTCGACATTTGTTTTGAACAATTTTTGCCATTTTGGTGATCTTTGAACAATGTCAAAAATAGTTAGAAAGTTGATAAAGGGGGGGAAAAGAAAGTCAAGTTCTCGTTGCGAACTAGGAGGAAGTCTGAGCCAAATTGGTCTTTTTCTGTGCTGGTGATTCCAACTCTTAATTTGTAAAATCTTGGCATGAAAGCTAAAATCGAATGGGCTTCAGTCCAGTTGCTCAGACGGATAAATTTGGTTTTGGTGCATTATAATTCGGTTTCTGACAGTTCTGATTTTTGCCCATACAGGTCCCGTTCAGTTTATTGGTCCACATTCTGATGACATCAATCACACTCTGCTGCTGGAGCTTGGAGCTCAGGCTTAGGAATAATTTATGGGACAATGATCTACAATTTTATATAAGATTATAAAGAATTAATAAGTACCTTTGTGGGTTTACATGCAGCTGGAGGGCGAATGAACCTCTGCCTTCAAAACTTGGCAAAATTGCTTCTTGAATGAAGCAGGGGTCAAAGTTTATATTATTTGAGTGCCAATTTAGACTTCATTTTTGTAACATTAGTTAGACTGCTAATTTTCATCGTGGAGTGAGCAATTTTGATGGGGTATGTTGGTGTTCGATTTAATAAACTGCATATTATCTTGTCTTTTCCTTGTTTCTGTCAAAGAGTTAAAGGTCCTGAGCTCTTCCGGTTAGCTCTTGGTTAACTACTCGAATTTCCTAAATTGCAGGGAACGTTAATTCTGTGAATTTCAAGCAGATATTTTTTAATGGGTCCGACTATGATACGAAAAATCATATCATATCTAAAACCTGTACTGCTGCCACGTATACAGCAGTTACCGGGTTTATTTAAGTAACCTGTAATTGGCTTTTTATATGTTAATTAAAATTTAAAAGAGTTTTAACTTAATTCGTTAACCGAATACTCCGTTACATTCTAATCATCTTCCCAGTTCCCTCTTCTGGTCAAACTTCTCCTCTTGAAATCGTATATCAATAATGCCTTCAATCAGCATCCCAGAGGTTATTTATCTCCCTTTCACTCTATCACAGGTATATTCTTTTTCTTCTTCTTCTGGTCGAACTTCTCCATCACAAGAGGCTATTCGTCTCCCTCACTCTTCTGGTTGAACTTCTTCAATCAAACATCGGCAGTTGTTCCCTCTCCCTTCTCTTAATTGAAATGGTCCATATGTAGAGCAGAGTAGGACTAGGTTGATATTTTTAATATATAATTCATTGATCTTGCAGCCCTTTGGGAGATGAAGCATCAGAATGCCACCAGAGGAGTCCTATTATTGTCACAGTGGATACAATTTGGGTGATTCGTAAACAGTTTAATTATTCATGGCGCCTCTCTTTCAAATCTCTCTTGAAAAGAATTGAATATTGCTCTCACCAGGATTCTCCCCAATCTCTCGAATGTGACATTCCCTGTATCTTTGACTCACTATCAACCATCATAGGTTTCAGAAGCTTTTGCTTCTCTATGTTTGAAATCCTTGTTTCATAAGCACTTACAAGATACTGCAGAGAAGGCAGAATGCAGATATATTTGAAGGAATTCCATGAAAAAGTAAAAGAATCAAATAAGTTGATATAAGATTAGCCTTATGATCAATTTATAACCTCTTGGACGTCCACAAGGGATGGCCTTCCATCTTGTTTTTTAGGAAATTGGCTTCCAAGTAAGATCTTATCCTGTAGAATAGATGGGATTGATTTGTCATTTATGTTTCCATTTGCAAGATCAATTAAGAACTCCACTGGGTTCATAGCTATTAGAGGAGAGCAACTAATTGAAGATAAATATAGCATAGCTTCAGAGGCTTTTTTGAAGTACAATGAATTGCCTCTGCTCAAGAGAATTAACTTGTCGAACTTGTTGAATAGTCTGCTTGATGGCTGATGAATTGTACTCACTACTGTTTTTCCAGCCTACAAAACCCCACATTGAAATTCAAGGAAGGGTGTTCTCTAAATTAAAGAAATTAAGAAATGTCGTGGTTTATTACCTTTGCAATATTGTGTATCATTTGAACTATTTTGCTAAGAGCTGTAGTTGAGTCTAGACTAGAGGTTGGTTCATCTAGGAAAAGAAGTGATGGGTTGAGTAGGATTTCATTGCTGATGCTCCGACCATGGTGCTCGGATTATCATCTCCAAGGATGAAAATATTAGCTTTCAATTACTATAATAACAAAGGAACTCTGGGTAAGTAAGCACTCTACTTTAAGGATTAACTCTCATTACGACTTATACCAAAAGACCGAACGGTGTACCTAGCCTTTGAGAAAATGGGGGTCTGCCCACTCAATTGCTCCAACACTTTCGCGACTCTGGTGAGACGATCTCCACTTTCACCCAAGAGATGTTGAGGACTAATTTTTGAACTTTGATCTCCCGCATTGGGTTCGAGAGCTTCTTCTCTGAAGCCATTGCTCTCCACAAATGAGGTTACAGAGGCAACTGAGTAGGTTGATCGTTTACGGAGGGAAGTAGGGAGAGGGTGACGTTTAATAGCGAACGTTAACGTATTTCTTATCTTTAAATGATTTTCTGTTATCAAATGTGATTTTAAATGTTGTTTTTGAAATCAATTACCTGCGATAACCCGCATTCACTGAAATAGAAAGTCGATTGTTAATTGGTCCATCTCATCTAAAATGATATGAAAAAGATTCTTTATCCATATCATAGATTAAGTAAGGAGAAGTACCAATCAGCCCAGATCAGAATTTTCTAGGCCCAAAGTACAGGGGGAATGCATCCTGACCGTGAATTGATGCCAAATTCACGGGCAGGATGTGGTTTATAGGGGGGAGAGAGCTAGTTATAGGGGGGCTGGAATTCAGAATTCTGCATCGTAATGTACCCGTACTTCTCTGTAGATTTTCCCTATTTTAATTGATGGGCAATTAATAGTTTGTTCGACAACTTAAATCCTGTCGGGGAAGGAGTGAAGTAGGGAGCTGGAATGCGCTACCTCCTGGCTGCAATTTTTATTTGGTCTACCCACGTAAAGCATCCCCATGCCCCATTGAAAGGGTAGGTAGGTCTGAGTTCTGACAGGTGTTTACTTACTTTCATGGGGTGAACTGGAGTATTGCTAATCAATTCTCTATAAGATCCAAATCCATCTATAGGACGCGTCTGGCAGTTATTGAAAGCCATAACAGAGTTCTTGAAATGAAATGGAAAATTGTGTCATTAACTTAGATGGTCGAATATTTATAGATTTACAGGGTAACCGATTTTGCACACGTGGCTTAATGGCCAGCTGTTGTTTCATGAATCTTGTTCTTGAGGCAACCGTCATATACATTTACATTTATCTTGTGTATGGGTGGTTAGATTTCATCAAAATAGTATCTAGATCGGCTGAGCTGGGCGATTAACAACCCCCAAATACCGCATCAACAATGCTCCAGAGCATTTCTTAAAAAAGATACTAATGGCCTGCAGCGATCTTGGATCATGAGTTGTTCATTTTGAGAATGACTTGAGTATGATTTGAGGCCCAGAGAATCTCCGAAATGGGCAATTTAATAATTTTACTTATACTGTAAATAGTGCTGCAATTTAGTAGTTCAAAGAGGCATGCCTTTCTGACAAAAAAATGTTAAAGGGATAAGTGTTACCAGGTATAAGTACAGGGTATCTGTAATCTGTAATTTACCCAAAGATTTATTATGATAAAAGTGGATACCTCACTCTCATGGTCCATGCATTTAAACTACATAAAAATTTATCTGTTATACTTTCTACCCACTATTAATATTACATGCAATAGATATGCTTTTCTTTTCTTTTTTTTTTTTTAATTTGTGTTTTTAAAACCAAAAACGCATTTTCATTTAAGGCTGATATTTAGTTTGTGGCATACTTTTTTTATATATCTCATTATAGTTGCTGGTCTAAAGCTTTTATGGATCATGTCAACTCATATTTAAATGAATTTGAGTCCAAGATATCATGTTTCGAGCAAACATGAAAATAATTAAATAAGAAAGGTAATATAATATCAATCTAACAAGAATTAATCTATATGTGAATATTATGAGACCGGATCTGCTCCTCACACCTAGCACCTTACACGCACATCCTACAACATCTCTCATACTTATTAGTTATTATTTATGGGAGATGTTCTCAATGCACAGTGGATGTGCCTGTGAAGCGCCCATTTGTGAGGAGCAGATCCCGCTTCGAATATTATATGTGTTATGAAACATAATATCAAACAATTAGAGGAAAACATGTTTTTAGATTCAAGATCACATCACAAGTCACAACAAGAAAACCAATTATCATTTGAGAACACCGTAAAGCAGAAATACTAAGTTGAAAACACTTTAAAGTCATTATCTTTTTTTTTTTTTTTGGTAAAAGTCATTTTCTTATGAAAGCCCTAAAGTTTGTAAAACGAGATATACATTGCTAATAGCATAATACATACATATATATACAATGTGAGAGAGCTTGAGAGGTGGTTTCTCCTTGTCTCGGTTGAGAAAACCGGTGGTCTAACCTAATTTTATTTACTCACCAGTCGGTAGATCTAGCAAAAAGTTGATCCAATCCGTGAACCCGACCTGACCCGACCCAACCAAAAAAAGGTTAGGGTCTCATATTTAGCTACCTGAATGTGAGATTGACCCGAATCGATCCAACCCGGGGAAACTGGGTTGGGTTGGGTCATGGGTCAACCCGCTAACCTGATTGTCGAGTCTAATTGGGACTATTTATGCACTGTTGGAAGTTTCCACTCTTTAATTTATTCTATTTAGTCTTTACTCTTTAAATTGTTAAATGTTCAAGTTTTTTTATTGGGAAAATTCCTTATAGGTACCCTGTACTTTAGGTCGAGTGCCAATTTAGTACCTGAACTTTAAAATGCAACAATCTAGTACTCGAACTTTTATTTTGTGACAATCTAGTACCTACTATTAATGGACCATCAATTATGTATATCACGTGACCTCATGTGCAATTTAAGACTTTTAAAAATGTCAAAATTACCCTTGGACACTATTCATCATCTTCTTTCTCAAGAGAATGAAACAGAGCCCAAACACACTGTTCATCATATTCTTTCTCAAGAAATGAAGATTAGGTTCCGGGAACCCAAATCTATTGATGGGGGTGAAGCTTCCACCCACCACAAGCCAGACGTTCTTTGCCGCACCGAAGAATGCTTGCAACTTGCAGCAATGGCTCTGGTCTCGCTCATCGAATATCCAAATCTGAATCCTCCCCAAACAAAAAAACAAATAAAAAAACATTCCACCTCTAAATGGAAGCCTCCACACCTCTCATCTTGTTTACTGATTGAAGAAAGAAAGCACCACCATCATAGATTACAGAGAGACCGGAGAAATGATGATGATCCAATCATCCGTGGCGATGGGGTTTCGTGTCACCACAACCGGTGGTTGTTGCTCTGTTGGCGGCATAGCAAGTGATTATTTCAGTAATTTTTATTCATTTATCCTTAATGAATAAATGAAAGAAGAGTTTTGGAGCAGCGGTGATACGATGAAACAAGCTAGGATTAGGTATAAAATATCTTGTACTAGAGGTCAAGGAGATTCGCATTGCATTGACTTTGGATGGTGGTTTTCTTTTGTTGGAGGGAGATTCAAAAT